GTGCAAGGTACAGTGGTTCATGCCTGTAATTCCGGCACTTTGGGAGGCAGGCTGATCACCTGATGTCAGGAGTTCAAGACCAGCCTGGCCAATATGGTGAAATCTTATCTCTACTAAACACACAAAACTTAGCCAGGCATGGTGGCACATGCCTTTAATCCCAGCTACTCAGGAGGCTGAGGCAGGAGAATCGCTTGAACCCAGGAGGTGGAGGTTGCAGTGAGCCGAGATCATGCCACTGCACTTCAGCCTGGGCAACAGAGTGAGTGAGATTCTGTCTCAAAAAAAAAAAAAAAAAAGAATTTTAAAATGAAGTAATTAATGTAAATCACACAGCACAAGGCCTGGCATCATCTAAGTTCACTGTACATCTTATTATACTCTGACTTCCTGTACTATCTTTCAAGAACAGAAGAAGCTGGGTGCGGTTGGCTCATGCCTGTAATCCTAGCACTTTAGGAGGCCGAGGCAGGTGGATCACTTGAGGTCAGGAGTTTGAGACCAGCCTGGCCAACATGGTGAAACTCTCTCTACAAAAATACAAAAAAAAATTAGCCAGGTGTGGTGGTGCACGCCTGTAATCCCAGCTACTCAGGAGGAGGCTGAGACAGGAGAATCGCTTGAACCCATGAGGTGGAGGTTGCAGTGAGCCGAGATCATGCCATTGCAGTCCAGCCTGGACAATAGAGCATTATTTCATATAAGAAAAAAAAGAAGAAGAAAGAAGAAAGAAGAAAGAAGAAGAAGAAGAAGAAGAAGAAGAAGAAGAAGAAGAAGAAGAAGAAGAAGAAGAAGAAGAAGGAGAAGAAGAGGAGGAGGAGGAGGAGGAGGAGGAGGAGGAGGAGGAGGAGGAGGAGGAGGAGGAGGAGGAGGAGGAGGAGGAGGAAGAGGAAGAGGAAGAGGAAGAGGAAGAGGAAGAGGAGGAAGAGGAAGAGGAAGAGGAAGAGGAAGAGGAAGAGGAAGAGGAAGAAGAAGAAGAAGAAGAAGAAGAAGAAGAAGAAGAAGAAGAAGAAGAAGAAGAAGAAGAAGAAGAGGAGAAAGAGACCTCTAAAATAGAGCTGCCTGGAGGCTAGCTGAAGACTTCCACCTTTGGTGTTTATCATAGTATATACACTTTCAACAATGGGCACAGATGCTCAAAGACTGCAGCTCTAACCTCTAAACTACCAGACAGGCATGAGATTGGTTCCATATTATCTTAGCCATCAACCAGTTCCCTTGTGTATATTCCCCATTCCTTTGTTGTATATTCCAGTTATACTCAACTCTGGAGACTCCCTTCCCTGTGAAAATCCACAGGGCAGCCCTACACAGAGCAGTACCATCCAGGTAGGAGAAGACGATCACTTGTAACTGGTTTTCCCTTCCTTACAGGAACTCACACAGTTCAAAGAGTGGAACGTCACCAAGGCATTGCCTGATGGGTCTGTCACCACACTCACTGGAGGGAATTAATCTAGGAAGAGACAGGTTCCAGGGACCATCAGCAACATACCAAACCACAGCGGGAAATCAAGCATGACTCAGCTCCCGCCCACTGCAATTACTCAGGACCTCTGCCCTTCAGATGTGGGAAAAAGCCCAGCAGTGTCTTGCAGTAACTGCTGCTCAGGTCTGCAACTTCCTGACAAATGACCTAGCAAGTCCTTTGCTAAGGGGAGGCTCAAACTGGATTTCAGAAGGCCCACCCAACCAGGATGACTGAAACAAACTGTGGACTGGGTACCAATCCAAAGGATAATATTGTAGCGTCAGGAGTAAAATACATTTCAACTCAATAAGAAGCCTAACTTATGCATTTAAAATGTTTGCAGATGGATGTAAGTGGAGATCCTGGGCAAAGTTGGTGCTAGGCACAGGCACAGCTGTGCAAGGAGATGGCAAAAGGGAAACCCACAGTATGGAAAAGTCCAAAAGGGGCACCAGCATGTTCCATAGTGTGAGAGAGAGGAAAATGAAAACACCATTTGCCAGGTGCCTGCCAAGGGATATACCTGGGCCGGCAGCTCTAGAGATGTTCCTCTGAACAAAACAGGAGCCATCTAGGACAAGTGGTGCCTGGTTATGGCAAAGAGGAGGGAACTTAAGCCCAACGGGTCAGTAAATGATGGATTTGAGCCTTCTCTTCTAATGGATTAGTAGATCCTAACAGTCAATATGGTGGGGATTGGAAAAACTTTCCTGTGTTTCTTGATCCCCAAATGCCAATATCATGAATGGCAAATGCTGGCATCCCAATAACGGTGTGCCTTTCAGGAAACCCCATCCAAAGATTCAGCCCCTTCTCCTAATGTTCAAGCACCTGTTCCTGCAGAATCGGGATATGAAGAGGCTGGCAAAGACCACAAACCAGGTGCTTCTGCAGCTTGTGGGCGGGGGACGGGATTTCCATGCTGTCCACAGGACACTGTTACACTAACTCTATTAACCCTTTGCTACCTAGAGATAGTGATATTGAAGCAGGAGTGGCAGGGAACAAACTTCTCCAACACCTAACTGAGGAAGGAAGTGGCTTTTTATTCAGCCAGAAGCTGCAAGGGGCCACAGCCTTATTCACCGAGCTCCCTGAGCTGCAGCTTCTCTCCCCTTTTATAGGCTTACAACACTAATGGGGAAACTGAGGTGGAACTGTCATTGCCCATTTGCTGGATGTCCGACCTTACAATCCTTTGGCTTCATTGATTTGCTAATTCCCAGTAGGGGAGGGTGCTTGCAGAAACAAGACAAAAGCAACAAGCTGTTTGTTGGCAGAGATATTTCCAGGAGAGAGCCTGGTCTGTGGAGACAAGGGGGTGTGAACCAGTGCTGGGCTCCAGCCGGCAGGGATAACATTCATTTGCAGCTCTTTCAAGGTTAACAGATAGCAAAGATGCTGGGAACTAAAAAGGGAGTCATTTTCCCAGCTCCTTGGTATTTTATTTTATTTTATTTTATTTTATTTTATTTTATTTTATTTTTCCTTCTTCACTCTCCTTCCCATCTGGAAGCGGGGGAGGGAGGAGGTGAAATAGAAGGAGGCGTGGGGGGGTCTTCCCTCTCAATATGAGAAAAGAAGGTTATCAATTCACCTCTCCTCTAGAAATAAATAGGGTGGTATCTCTGAACCTGGCCATTATTAAAAAATACAAATAAAATACAGAGTGGGTAATAATGCAAGGCCCATATGCTCAAGAAAATACAGGCTGGAACAAATAAGGAAAGGGGCTTCATTTCTGAAAATACCAGGTCCACTTAACACTGGATACTCTCCTGCCTATGGAAATCGACAGGGGCGGTTACGGAGAGTGAAGCAAGTTTCATAGTATTGAGAAAGGACAGTGAAAACCAACATTTACCAGGTGCTGCCATGGGCTATTCCTGGGCTGAGGCTCTAAAGATGTTTCTTTGAACAATAACAGCAGCCATCTGGGATAGGTGGTCCTCAGCTATGGCAGAAAAGAGGGGAATGAGGCCCAAGAAAGTGGTGGATTCCAGTCTTCTCTTCCAATGAATTAGTAGACACCAATGGCCCAGGCAGGGCGTTTCTTAATTTTTGAATACTAACATCATGAATAGCAAATGCTGGCATGGCAATAAGAGCTTGCCCTGCATCTGGTCACATCTAAAACACCAGTTAATTCTCTTTTTGCAGAAATACCTGTTCCTGCAGAATCAGGATATGGAGAGATGCTGGCCAGGGCCACAGACCAGGTGCTTTTGCAGTTTGCAGTTTCTCTGTTGTCCTCAGGACACTGTCATACTATTAACCAATTCCTGCCTAGTGATAGTGATATCTGAAAAGAAGGTTATCAGTTCACCTCTCCTCTAGAAATAAATAGGTTGGTATCTCTAAACCTGGCCATCAGCAACACATACACATGAAAATCTGAATGAGTGATAATCAACTGTTCACATGCCCAGGGGAAAACAGGTCTTTTCTTAGGACTTCTACAGGAGCCTTAGACGGGGCGACTTCCCAGGGGATGGTTGTACTGAGTTTGCAAATTTGGGCTGAGATTCATTCAAACTACCTGGGGAATGCAAGTTAACCTGCAGAGGCGAAAAAGGAGAAAGATCCATGTTCAAATGGAAATTAAATGCATGTTTGATGGATTCCATGATCAGCTTTGACATTGTTTACAGAAACAGTGGCTGGCACCAGTTGGCTCCAGCATAGAAGGGATTGCTTTATACCTAGTGGAGACCCTGCCATGCCTGACCCAAGGAAGCCTGCTCGGTGACCAAGCAGGCACGGAAGGATGGAGAACACACTTGGTCTGTTTTTCCCCAGGCCCAAACGGGAAACAGAAAACTTTCCTCAAGGCCACTACAGGCCTTTTTAGCGGGCCATGTTGCCGCTGGCTGGCATTCTCAGAGAAAACATCTCTCTGCTATTTACAGTGCGTTTTCAAAAAAGTAAAATCCAGATTATCCCAGGCTGTCTAGGATCTTAGGAATTGGAATCCCTGCATAGAGAAAAATCAGAATGAGGGTTTCCCCCCACATTTCAAGAGACTGCTGGATCTGAAGCCCAGCTCAAAAGCCCATCTTCCAGGCCACTTCCCCTCCTGCGCCAGACTCCTTGATCTCAGGACTCTCTGAGAGCCAGGTCCAGGGTCGGGTTCCCTGAGACCCTCCTGGACCTTAGATGGCCACGCCTCCGAGCGCTATTGACGCAGGAGGCGCGATTCTTTTTCCTGTTCACAGGAGGGGAAAAAAGCGGGAACAATGGCTTTGGGGACAGAAAGACGCGAACACCCAATGCCGCAGCGACTGGGAGGGTCGCGATGCAAGAGGACGAAGTGGGAGAAGGGGGATTTCGGCCTCCCTGCGGGCGGGAGGTAAGCCGCTAAAAAGTCCGCTCGCCTCTCGACGCCAAGGGATGACCTCCCTGGGCCTTTTGTACCACTTGCCGCGGCAAACGGTCACACGCTTTTGTCCCCAAACCGAACACTATCAGACACATATGACCCCTGGAAGCCGCCATGTTGGCCATTGGCAGTGGCGCACTCACTCCCGTGCTACTGCGCGTGCGCGACGCTGCGACACGCTCCACCCCGTCGCGGGTTCCCAGGGGGCGATGGGAAGCGGAAGTGCTCGGCTGACCTGGGAGGACGGTTCCTGGTTCATACTGGCTGCTGTCGTCGGTCTCTGAGGTTTCAGGCTCTTGGCGGTGAAGTAAGACAAACGCGGAGGTGGTGATGGTTTTGATGGGGAACGGGGATTGACGGGGCCATGGGGTCACGGGGCCATAGGTGAACCCCTTTGTGGGTGACAGGGTGGCTGTATAGCCCAGCTCAAAAGCCCATCCTCCAGGCCACGTCCCCGCCTGAGAAAGACCCCTTGCTCTCAGGACCCTCTGAGCCAGGCCCAGGGTCCGGTTCCCTGAGACCCGCCGGCCTGTGGGCATGAGTGCTGGGGGCGAGGTTTGGGGCCAGCGAGTGACTGATTGATTGAGTCACTCAGCGCCTGTTTTCTAAGCGCCTAATAACTGCCAGGCAACCTTGCAAATGTTTCACATTAACCTTCACAGGAGCCCTGTGCAGTAGTAGCATGATTATCTTCTTATCTTCATTTTATAGAGAGAAAATGGCTTAGTGTGGCTTGGCAAATGTTCAAAATCACATAGGTAGCAACCTGAGGAATGCTTTTTTTTTTCTTTTCCTGTGCTTTTCATGTTTATTGTTTCCTGTGTGTCTCCCCCGCTGGACTAGAAACTCTGCAGGAGCTGGGACTTTGAGATTTTGTTCACTGATGCATTTCCAACACAGAGAATGGGCACATGAAAGGCACTCAATTCTTCAGTGAATAGAAGTGGCACAGCAGGCAATCAGTTGGTTGCAAAGCCCGGACTCAGGAAGGCAGGGTTTCGCTCACTGAGGATAATTGAGCCGTGCATGAATGTTAACTCTTAAAGCTAGAATGAGGCATTGTCCCTCTTCTGTTGGGTAAAAACCTTTCGATTTTACTCAACTTCACTGTATGAAGGGAGCGCAGATGTTGCTAATTTAATCTCCTGTGGTCATTGTGTTTTCAGGGTCAGAGTGCAGACCTGAAACTACTGCTCACGGACTTCAGACTCCAGTTTATCTGTGCCCCGGCTTCCTGACTTAGTCTCAGAAGATTTAGGCTGAGGCCCCGGGAGGAGGTGAGTTTGCTGGGTCACAGGCAGAGATCTAGTGCTACAGTGATGGTCCCAGCTGGGACGGGTTTGTCTCTGAATCCCTTGGTCCTGAGAGGTATGCTGAGCTGAGGCAAGTTGGAGGAGAAGCCTCAGTCAGAGCCCAGACCTAGATCTTCAGGGCAGAGAAAGGAGGCTCACAATACAGCAGGTCCTAGAAGAGCTGGACCCATAGTAGCCTTGTCCCTCCCTTCAGCTGAGACAGAGCAAAGCTGGCTCAGGTTCCAGGTGCCATTGAGGACCATGTGACCGTGCAGTTTGATTCCTGCTGGAGGAGGGACAGGTGAAAATCACAGGTGGATGGAGGCATGGATGCCCTCCATGGGGCAGGTGCCCTGCTGTGGTACCTGCAAAGGCAGGATGAGGCTGGGAAGGATCACAGCCAGCCACAGAGGACTTGGCCTCTCCTAGCACACTCATTCTCTTGCCATTGGCTGTTTCTCAATTTGAGTTGGCCCCACACCATCAACCAGGCACCTGCTTCCACCTGCTTGCTGAGTCTCCCTCCATCCTGACCAAAGTGCAGAAAATATATTTTTAGTTTATAGAATTTCAGAGTAGTCTCTAGGTATGCTGTCATCCAGCTCTGCTGCCTTATTTCGATCCTTAATGAAACTGGATCTGAAGACATGACCTGTTAACCTACACGGATGAACCCTGTTGTCCTGATGCTGTCACAGTGATTGCTGCAGAATGAAACGGTTACTCTGCACAGAAGCTCCTTCCTGGAACTTTCTTTTGAAAAACTGCCAAAGAAGGAGCCTGGCAATCAAAACGCAGATTATGAGAAAGGAGGAAGTGGTGGGGTGGGAACAGGGTAGGTGGCCAGTTAGAGAGGCGGATGCAGGGGAGCAGGCACAGTGGTTTTCAGCCCCTCACAGAACTGACGCTGCTGGGCTGCTACCCACCCACCCGCACACCGCGCCTCCCTTGTAGCCCTCTGAGCCCTGGTTGGGCTCTTCCTCCAAACTGCATCCAGAGATCCTACTCATCATACACGCTTGCAGAGGGTCTTTTCACCTCTAGGGTTCTGTTTGATAAGAGGTAATTTTAAATTTTTGTTTTATTAGTAATATTCTTTGTCAAAAATTGAGAAAATGCAAATAGAAGAAAATTGAAATCACCGCTCAAAAGTAACCAACACCAGCATTTTAATAAATCCTCTGAGACATCATATATGTGCCTATTGATTATCAAAAATGAGACCATACTTTGCTTGCTTTCTTGGAACCTGCTTTTAAACACATTAGGAACTGAAAACAAATTCCATGGCATTTTTAAAGCCTGTTCAGTATACCTGCTTTTGCATGTGTTGTAATTTTTAACTGTGTCCCCTTTGCTGGACATTTAGTTGCTTCCTATATTTTGTTTGTTTGGTTGGTTGGTTTTTCTTTCGACAGGGATTCCCTCTGTTACCCAGGCTGGAGTGCAGTGGTGCCATGTTGGCTCACTGCAACCTTGACTTCCTGAGCTCAAGTGACCCTCCTACCCAGCCTTCAGAGTAGCAGAGACTACAGGTGCTTGCCACCATGCCTGGCTGATTTTTGTAGAGATGGGGTTTTGCCACGTTGCCCGGGCTGGTCTTGAACTCCTGTGCTCCAGTGATCTACCCACGTCGACCTCCCAAAGTGCTGGGATTATAAGCATGAGCCACTGTACCTGGCCCACTTATTAATATTTTAATGGTAGAAATGACTACAGTTAACATTCTTTCAGCTTTTCCACATTTAGGATTGTTTCATTATGACAAATGTCTAGTAATAAAACTCTTAAGATAAAGGAGATGTTAAGTTGTTACTAGTTTCTAAAGTAGATATCTTTAGATACAAGTCATACATCTGTCCAGTAAGGGAAACAAAATTTCATCTGTAAAACCTACATGATCTTAGTAGAGTGTCATGGAAACAGGCTGGAGCTACCAGGTCATGTTTTTAGACCATTCTCCCCAGGGTATAAGGGTAATGATTATCAGGACGAAAATGATGGTCTAACACCTACCTAGTGTACTCTCCTAATTTTGCCTTTATAGATCTCCATCCTTTATCCAGAGCAGAGCAGGATGGCCGTGTCCCAGGTAAGTGCCTAATTTACCCATACTTTGTTTCCAGTGAAATTGAGGCAAGGTTTGGAATCTCTATAGTGGATTCGAAAATACCAATTATCCCCTCTTCTCTGGCTGTTTTCTATTAAACTTGTTCTCAACCTCTGGTTTCTCTAATCCTTCCCCTTACCAGGAGAGAGGAAAAAAAATTCCTCGCTCTACTTCTTGTTCTTTTTTCGTTTCTTTTCTTTTCTTTTCTTTTGGAGACAGAGTCATACCCTATCACCTAGGCTGGAGTGCAGGGGTGCGATCTCTGCTCATTGCAGCCTCCACCTTCCGGGTTCAAGTGATTCTCTTGCCTCAGCCTTCCGAGTAGCCGGGATTACAGGTGCCCGCCACCACGCCCAGCTAATTTTTGTGTTTTTAGTAGAGACAGGGTTTCACCATGTTGGCCAGGCTGGTCTCGATCTCCTGACCTTAGGTGCCTCTGCCCACCTTGGCTTCCCAAAGTACTGGGATTACAGTTGTGAGCCACCATGCTCTCTACTTGTTCTTCTGAGAACTGTACCTCATCTTTTCTTCATTTCCCTCTCACAGAAGATTATTTACATACATAGATTCATCTTGCTTTTTCCTCTTTCTTCACTTACAGATCGCTTGATCTTTTTCATCATTCATATTTATGATAAGAAGTTTGTGCATAATGTTTTAATGTGCATAGAAAAAATCAGTAGCCCAAGGGATTCCATTCCTTCTCCCCCCTGTACCATGTTCCTCGTCAGAGATGCCCACTGTTAACAGTTGGGTTAAATGGTCGGGTAGATGCATTTATGTCAATTTAATGAGCTAAAAACATATACATATGCATTATGTTTTATGCCTTTACACAAATGGCATTGTGCTCCCATACCCATCTTGCTTTTTGCACCTGATTATATCCTGGGTGGTGTTCCTTGTCAATATATAAAGATGTTTTAAATTTCTATTTCATAGTATGGATGTATTCATATCATGTAACTATTTATGGATATTTAAGTTTTTAATTTCTTTTTACTATTGTAAACCATGCTTCATAAACAACTTTCTCTGTATCTGCTTCCTCTGTAATACCAGTGTTTATGGAGGATATACCTGGAAGTCAGGTTTTGACTAAAAGGTACCGAGACTTAAATTTGCCCTCTGAAATCCTTCATAATCACTTCTTTCACTAAATGTAAAGACCAGATAATTTCTATGTTCGAATTTTCCAGGCTATTAAAGATGAAAAGGCACCCAATTCATTTTGGGAAGCCACTTAACCTGAAATTTGAGGACGATATTAAAAAAAGGAAAATTAGGCCAGGCGCAGTGGCTCAAGCCTGTAATCCCGCACTTTGGGAGGCCGAGGCAGGGGGATCACTTGAGGTCAGGAGTTTGTGACCGGCCTGGCCAACATGGAGAAACCCAGTCTCTACTAAAAATACAAAAATTAGCTGGGCCTGGTGGTGCATGCCTGTAATCCCAGCTACTCGGGAGGCTGAGACAGGAGAATCACTTAACCTGTGAGGCGGAGTTTGCAGTGAGCCGAGATCACATCACTGCACTCCAGCCTGAGTGACAAAGAAGACTCTGTCTCAAAAAAAAAAGAAAGAAAGAAAGAAAGAAAGAAAATTATAGACCAGTTTCCCTTAAGAATATAAATGTCAAAATATTAAAAATACTCTGAATAGAACATTAACAAATTGAATTGGACATTTTAAAAGCAATGCATGCACATGGTAAAAAAAAAATTCAAACAAAAGCTTTGTTAAACAAAAAAAAGTTTTGTGTGGTTTTTGTTTTTTGATGCAGGATCTGGCTCTGTTGCCCAGGCTGAAGTGCAGTGGCACAACTTCAGCTCACTGCAACCTCCGCCTCCCAGACTCAACGATCCTCGCACCTTAGCCTCCCAAGTAGCTGAGACTACAGGTGCATGCCACCATGACTAGCCGATTTTTGTATTTTTTGTAGAGGTGGAGTTCTGTCATGTTGGCCCAGGCTGCTCTTGAACTCATGAATCTCTTTCTCTGCTTATGCACAATCACTTGTCCTCTCCTGCATGTGCTCTCTTTCTTTCTCTTCTTAACAAGTTACAGTACATGCTGGTCTTTCTAATCCTTTTTTTAAATGATCTTTTCACTTGTGTTAATTCTACACCAAGAGTTTCTCAGTGTGACGCTATTGACATTTTGGCTGAGGTCATTATTTGTCATGAGTTGCTTTCCTGTGCATTGTATGTGTAGCAGCATCCCTGGACTCGTCTCTACTAGATGCCAGTAGCGCTCCCTCCTCCAGTTTGGGCAACCAAAATATCTTGTCATTGCCAAATACCACCTGAGGAATAAAATTATCCAGTGTTTAAAACTGACCTATCCCCTTTACAAAAATGACTCCTTGATATTCCATTTGATGGCAATACCACTAATTATTTACCTTTCTCCTAATAATAGATATTTAGGATATTCCTCTTTTTTCTTTTTTTTTTTTTTAAAGGGGGAGGAGGAGGAAGAGAGGGAGGAAAGAAGTCAGGATAGTCCTAATCTTTTGCTACCTTAAACAACACAGCAGTGTATAGTACATTCCCATTGTGTGTATGTGAGAACATTTATAGGATAACTTTCTAGGTCAAAGTTAAATGCATCTTGAATTTTGATTCAGAGCTGTCAAATTACCTTCCGATAGGATGTTCTGATTTTCATTGCTGGCAATATTATAATGCCTCTTCCCATAAATGGGCAATCACAGTGTATTATCCACTATGATTTTTGCCATTGTGAGGGAGTAAAGAGTAGTGTGTTTTAATTCGCTTTTCTTGATTTGAGTGTCTTTTAAAATGTTTAACCACCATGTTTTACTTTTTTCTTTCAAATATTTATTCTAGTCATTTTCCCCCTTTTCTCTTGGGTGTGGAATTACTTTGATGGCTAGATGTTAGCTCCTTGGGTTAACTTAAGCAAATGAGATCTCTGTCATATATGTTGTAAATATTTTTCATAGTTTATTATTTGCTTTGATTTGTCTTACACATCTTGGGGAGTGGATCTTAATGTGTTTTTAGTGTCAAATTTCATACTTTTTTGCTTTTAGAGTTCTTGTATTGCTTAAATAGGATTCTGTTAGTTGAGATTATAAAAATGGCATTTCAGTTACGTGGAAAAAGTGGTTACTGAATGATAGTGGCACCGTTGAGTCTCCATTTGGATGGAAAGAAAGTTAAACTCTTCTACATCATATACATGTCAATTCCAGATTGATCAAATACCTAAATATATATTTGAAAAATTAAATGAAAATTTAAGAGGATATTGGGATAACCTTGCTTAGTGCAATAAACTTTTTTTTTTTTTTTTTAATGGTACAATGTTTTTTGTTTTGTTTTTGAGACAGAGTCTCATTCTGTGACCCAGGCTGGAGTGCAGTGGCACAATCTTGGCTCACTGCAACCTCTGCCTCCTGGATTCATGCGATTATTCTGCCTCAGCCTCCCAAGTAGATGGGTCTACAGGCACACACCACCACACCCGGCTGATTTTTGTATTTTTAGTAGAGACTGGGTTTCACCATATTGGCCAGGCTGGTCTCGAACTCCTGACCTCATAATCTACCCATCTCGGCCTCCCAAAATGCTGGGATTACAGGTGTGAGCCACCGCACCCGGCCCAATGCTTTTCTTTTAATGATCATTAGGACATCTTTAAATTAACTACTAAGTATACACACAAATAAGGAAACATAAGGAACGTCATAGCCCAAGTACTTCTGAAACTACTACTTAGTTCCAAGCCCCAGCACATATCAGTTATATGAATTAATTTTTTAAATTCAGCACCTGGATCTTTGTTTTAAGACTAGTATATTAAAAAAAAAAAAATAGAAAAGAAAAAAAAGACTAGTATAAAAAAAACAAACAACTTGTTATTAACATAATAGCTGCAGTTATTAACTGCAAGAATACAGTAAAAAAGAGTCATACTAAATGTTAATGTTCTTGTAACAGAATTATCCATATCACTTTATGGTAGCAAATTCTGGCAAGAAATGATGATTCATTTCTTATTAAAAAATACTTATTTCTAAGATTGATCAGTTATACTGCCAATAAAACCACAGTATATTCAATAGAGCCCTTACCTTTCTCTTTTTTTCCTGAAAGGTCTGTCATTTACAGGGAACTACTAATTTCAGATCAGTTACTCAAACCAGGGTTCTGCCTGTAAATTCACATCTAAACTTTATAGTAACCCATATTCCCTCTCCAGTCTTGAAGCTAAACACTTTCACAAAGGGAACAACCTAAAATCATTTCATGTGAATCTTGGTTCTTACTTTTCTTCTACTTCATTTTTATTTCTATCTATTATTTGTTATTCTTCCTCGTCACTAAAAGTCTCTTCCTGCATGGTGGTAAAGGAGAAAGATCTAGCAGCCACTTCTGCGGCAAGGCCAGTAGTGAGGGTGAAATCCAGTGACAGCTGTAGCCATGCCAGCCTCTGCTTCATGGAGGTCTGTAAGGACTCCCTGGGAGGTGGAGGGTAGACCAGGATGGACCACCAGGCCAGACCGCCTCCATCTGCTTGAGATTCATCTTTGCCCTTGCATTGGTAACATGTTCTCTCTTCTGCTCCTTGGAGGAAGACTTCATTTGCGGAATTGTCTTTATTTTTACCCTCTAGAGCAAGCTTGTCCAACCCATGGCCCACAGGCCACATCAAGCCCAGGACAGCTTTGAATGTGGCCCAACACCAATTTTGTGAACTTTCTTAAAACATTGTGAGATTTTGTTGCAATTTTTTTTTTAGCTTATCAGCTGTCATTAGTGTTAGTGTATTTTATGTGTGGCCCAAGACAATTCTTCTTCCAGTGTGGCCCAGGGAAGCCAAAAGATTGGACAGCCCTGCTCTAGAGAGCCATCACATAAATACTCAGTCCTGCTTGTTGCATTGTCACTTGTGGAGTGTTTACTGTTTTCCTCTTCAGTATCATTTTTACTGACTTTCCTGTATCGGAATTCATTG